TTACTGAAAGAATCCTAAACAAATCCTCATGTGGAGTTTAATTTAACCAGCTCAGAAATAACCCCAAGCTTATTATAGATAAATGTACCTCAGTTTGAGGCCTTCCTGGAAATCTGTGGGTTGAGTGCAGCTAATTCCAGAACTCCTGTGTCATGCAGGGAGTTTGGTACCTGTCCACTCTTACCTGTGTTTTGTTTGCTTTGTGACAGCACAGGACAGAGATCCCTGGCTCAAAACTGCTCGTCAGCACCTTTGGGAGGCTCCCACCTTGTGCTGAACTCGCCTGTGTCAGCCTGTTCCCCCTGCCAGCTCTCCCTCCATCCCTGCAGCTCTCCCTCCATCCCTGCAGCTCTCCCTCCATCCCTGCAGCTCTCCCTCCATCCCTGCAGCTCTCCCTCCATCCCTGCAGCTCTCCCTCCATCCCTGCAGCTCCATCCCTGCAGCTCCATCCCTGCAGCTCCATCCCTGCAGCTCCATCCCTGCAGCTCCATCCCTGCAGCTCCATCCCTGCAGCTCCCTGAGCTCCCAGCTCAGCCATGCTGCTGCAGAGCACTCAGCAGTGCAGACTGTTTTCCGCAGTGGTGCAGTATCTGAAGAGGTCCTTTGCAAGCCTCTAGGACTGCACCAGGCTGCTGAGGCATGGAAAGCTCTGGTGCTGCTGGCTGCACACCCTGACATGCAGCAGCTTCAAAGAGCCTGCATGGATTAATAGGAATTCTGTTTCCAGTAATGAACTGGATTTCAGAGACAGATTATTCCTGAATGACATTCTGTGCACTCCTGCCCTGCCCAAAGTCAGCCTTTGATCCTGATGCAGCTTTTTTTTCCTCCTAGCTAATACTACCTGTTTTATCTGGCACTGTGCTGGAAAAAAAAAATGACATCATTTGGGGAGTGCTGCAGGGCTCCAGTCTGTGGGATTTACTCCCAGTCCCTGCTCTGCACTGACACTGCAGAGCAGAGCAGCCCTGAGCCTGGGGTCATCTCTGGGGTTCAGTGTTCAGGGGTCACCTCTGGGGTTCAGTGTTCAGGGGTCACCTTTAGTGTTGTTAACTCTTGTGCCTGATCAGTTTATCTGGAGGAAAGGAGCTGCTGTGGGAAAGAATCAACATGTCGTTCCTTCTTAGGGACTTTCACTTGACTTGGGGAAGTTTGGATTCAGGGAAGTTTATTTTGCATGGTGGAAACACGGGCTGAGGGAGGAAGCTTTTGGCTCCTCTGCCAGGACAGCTTTGTGCAGGTGGGCTCACCTTGGAGCATTTGAGGAGGATCTCTCCTAAAGCAGGGCTGTGGGGGATTAGAGGAGCAGAGCTGGGTGCAGCAGCTTCTTCCTGTGCTTCCAGCTGAGTCCTGTGACCAGCAGAGTGGGATCAGCATCCTGCTCCTCCAGCCTAATGCCAGGCAATCCCACAGACCAGTTCCCATGTCCCTGTCATTGGGGTTGTCAGGAGGGGAGGCTCTGTGAGCGATCACGCCGACTTGCCCTGCACATTTTCCTGGCCTGGGGTATATTTTTTCCTTTCAAGCACCAGATCTGCTGTTTCTAGAAACACAAACAAGGCCTGGGAGAGGTGCAGGGTTCACTGCCTTGCAGCAGGCTGTTCCTGTGGTGGTAACTGCTGCTTCCCTTCCCTCCCAGAGAACCTGGAGTACAACTCTGAGCCTCGGGAGATCCCTCACCCCGACATCGGCCGCTATTTCTCCGAGTTCACCGGCGTTCACTACCTGGCAAATACCGAGCTGGAAATTCGGTACCCGGAGGATTTGGAGCTCACCCGAGCCACAGTGCAGAAGATTTACAGCTCAGGCAAGGAGTGAGTGCCAAAGGCAGCCTGGGGACAGAAGCAGCTGGAGTGTAGCTTTACCCTCTTTACAGAACTTGCGTGGGAAGCAAGTTTGGTGACAATCCTTTGGCTTAATGCATTGAAAACTGCATTGAACTTGGAAACTGGTGCTACAGCATCTTCCTGTTGTCTGCCTGCCCGTCCTGGCCCAAAGGCACAGCGACACTTTGCTACTTGAGGCCCAGCAGGAGGAGCTTGCAGGGACAGCTGTGCCAGGAGCATTGTCCTTGGGAAGGATCTGCACATTCTGCTCCTTCTGTGGTGGCCTTAGAAGGTCAACACAGCAAGATCCTGGTGTGGAATATGGAGGAACCCCCCTCTTCCAGGGAAGGAAGTTGCTTGTCCTGGCAGTATTTTTGTTTGGCTGTGTCTGTCTGGTTTGGTTTGAGTGTCTGTCCCATGCAGGCAATAGTTTTTAAAGTCTCTCACGTTTCGCTGTTGTCTTCTCCAGTCTGAATTCTTGGGTCAGGTATTGCTTCACCTCTGTAGTCTGATTGTTCCTAGAGCTACTGTTCCAATCCTGAATATCCTTCTGGGCCTGGGAAAGAGCTCCAGCCACAAAACCAGCAGCATTGAGGCTCGTGGGGTGGCGAGCAGTGCTGAGCCGGGGCCAGGTGGCCACCTCGCCCATGGCAGAGACTCCAAAAGCAGAGGAGGAGCTCCTGGCCCTGTTCCATGCCTGCTGAACACACCCAGCCCACCTCCTGACCTCGTTTTTCAGTCTGTCCGTCGTGTGCGTCCAAGGTGGGATCCGTGGCACAGCCATGAGTGTTCCCAGGAGGATTTGGAAGCTCGTGGGGATGTCTGGGGGATCCTGAGGGCAGCACCAGAGTGACTTGGATGGATGCGGAGCTGCCGCTCGCCGCCATCTCCCATTTTTTTTCCAATAGGTATTTATGCAATACAGTGGAACGATGACTGGAACCCGGCCATCTCTGGAGTCAGCCAAACCATTATGGAAGCAAGATGTTAATTCCTTCAGCTTGAGGCCTTCTTCCTTCTTGCCAAAAGAAAATGGATTCTAGGGGAGCGCAGACTTGGCTGCCTACAAGGGAAGGGCTTTAGCAGCTCGAGGCACGTGACTTTTAACCTTGACTTAAAGGCCCAGACAGAACCACTGCAGAAGAGGTTTTCCTCTGGGCTCAGGGGCTGTGGGGTGCAGAGGGACACAGTGTTTGTGCATTTCTTTGTGGTTTCTGAAGCAATGTGTGTAGAGTAGCTGCAGCTCGTGTCTCCTGTCACTGTCCACTTGCAACACAATAATTCTCCTCTCCGAGCTGACACTTAGGGCCCTGTAGAGGTAGGTGGATGCTCTTTAGTCTCTTATGCACTACAGGTATCTCCACGTGGAATCACAGCCCTCCTCTCCAGCAATGCCTGCCCTGCATGTCACCTCCTGCAACCCTGAGCACTGGTTTGCTGTGGAAATAAATGCTGAGAGCCCAGCGCTTTGGTGGTGGTGGTCTGCAGGGATCTGGGGCTCCAGGAAGAGCAGCCTGTGGGGAGAGAGTGAGGAATGCTGAGGGGGCTCTGCTCCAAGCAGAACGCTGTCTTTGAAGAGTCAGAATCCCAGTTTGGGATTTTTGGGCTGTACTGACATGGAGGGAAGGAGGGAGGGAGGAGTTTCCATTGTGGAGCAGGGTAGGGAATCCTCAGGCAAAAATCCAAAAATCAGTCTCTTGTTCTTGAGGGTTGGAGTAGACCCCAGCCCTCCAACCTGTTTTGAAAGCAGATCCCAAAAGATTCCTGGCAGGGATGCAAGTTTGGGGATGGGGGTGCTGAGTCCCAAAGTAGCTGAGAATGGGCAGAGCAGGGCTTGGGCTCCCCATTCCCATTCCCAGCTGTCAGCAAGATTCCTGGGATTTTGGGCTGCCTTCTCTTGACGCCTGGGCCTCTCTCCAGTGCATCCAGGGAATTATAGAGCTCAGGAGGAGCTGCCTGAGGTACAGCTGTGCCAAAAGAGAGCCACAGGAGCCAAGAGGAAGCAGGCAGAGTTTCCCTGAGAGCTGGCCGGTGCTGACCAACCCACCCAGGGAGCTGCTGGCTGCTTCAGGAGCCCCAGAGCAGCCAGCAGGGCCCTTCTGTCCCTCTTCTGAGGCCACTGCTCATACCCTGAGAGCCTGGCCAGGAGGAGGTGTGGGGGCTGCTGCTCACCATAGAACTAAATCCTCATCCCTCTGGAGTTTCTGACCTCAGCTCTGGCTGCTGCCCACATCCATAGCCAGGCTGTGGGTGTTGGGGTCACAGCCTTGCAGGTGCCAAATTTGGAAAAGATTGGGCTGTTTCAAGGTGTTTGCTACACAACCTCAGCCCAGGGGCCAAGTCAGATTTTGGGATTTGAGAGAAACCCAAAGGGAATGGTGAGTTGTTTCCCATATGGGAAGGGTGTCCCCACTGCCTCCAGTGCTGCTTTGCCTGAGTGGAATCCTTGGTCTTGGTGAGGAGAAACTCCCCTGTGAGCACCTGCTGCTGTGGGAGGCCTCAGCCCAGCATCCAGGGAGGCCAGGGAAAGCTGGAACCCTCCAGGATACACCCAGGGAGGCCAGGGAAAGCTGGAACCCCCCAGGATACACACAGGGAGGCCAGGGAAAGCTGGAACCCCCCAGGATACATCCAGGGAGGCCAGGGAAAGCTGGAACCCCCCAGGATATCTCTCTATCCATGCTCCATATATCCATATCCATTCCAGCCTCTTGGAATGCAGCTGGGTTCCCCCAGGCTGCACATCCGTGGTTCAGCAGTGTGGGGACAGCTCTGTGGGGTGACATTTGGGGTTTGCCTGTGCCCCCTCCCCTCCTGGCAGTACAGGCACAGTCACCTTTTCCAGGAAGGCAGGGGTGGATCCCAGAAGCTCCCTGGCCGGATCCGTGCTGTCCGTGTCCAGGGTGGTGCCGATGCCGTCCCTGGGATCCATGGAGCTCTCCCAGGAGGGGTTGTGTGGATCTCTGGAGAGGGTGGAATTGCCTCCCTTGTCTCCCACCAGGTGCAAAGTGTGGCCAGGTCACTCCTGTGCAGTGCCAAAGTCCTTGGAGCAGGGGCTGAATTCCCTGCAGTTAATGCCCTGTTCTCCCTTCCCTTTCCGTGTCACCCGTCCTGGGGACAGAACAGCCCCGGGGCTGCCATGCTGAAATCCAGAGGGTGAGGGGAAAGTCCAGAATGCGGGAAGAGGAGGCTGGGAAGGGGCAGGAAGCGAGTACTCACTGTCTGGATGGTAAGGAAAAGCCAGGGCTGGTTCTGAGCTTTGCCACTGGATGTTGGCACTCAGGGATGTCCCAGGCACAGCCATTCCCAGGCTGGCTCTGGCAGGGAGCGAGTCCTGAGGGCAGCGGCATCCCCGGGAGGTTTGTCCAGCCCTGGAGGCCGAGGTCTCCATGTGCTGCTGCTCCAGGCCAGGCTGAGGAGCTGCTGGTGCCCTCCGGCAGCAAAGGGGCAGCGAGGGACAGCTCCTGGATCCTCTTGGGAAGCACTTCCAGCCCCTTTGGATCGACCCTGCCACGCAGGGACACACTGAGAGCACCCTGGCCCAGCCGAGGGCAGGGAGTGACAGAGCATGGGAGTTTGTCTCCAATCTTTGCAGGAGAACCAAGCCCCAGGACCCTCCGGAGCAGCCAGCCCTGCCTGGGGCCAGGGAGAGCCGTGGCCTCTGGGGCAGGAGGATGAGAGGAGGGAAGGGCTGCTCCGGGCTGGAGAGGCTTTCTGGGATCTCCTGCTCCCTTCCAGCTCCACCTGCACACGAGCTGGCTCCAGGTACTGTCCTGACCCCATCTCCAGGGCACTCCCAGCTCTGGGGGCCCTGCCTCCCTCCCTGCTGGCTCTTCCCCCTCGGGGGACACGGGGACTGGCGGCAGGGACAGAGTGCTGCTCCTGTTTCCCCGCTCCTGCTCCTGCCTGGAAGTGCCTGGGCTGGGCAAAATTCCACATTGGATGGAAAAGTGCCGGCCCAGGAATGGAGGGTGAGGAGCCCCGAGCCCCAGAGCCCCTGACAATGAGAAGTGAGCTTGCAAGATGGGGACATCTCTCCTTCCTCTGTCTTTATTTATAAACAGGTATTTTCCTGGAGGCTGGAAATGATTTCATTCCTTTCCTGTTTACATTTGGCTTTAAACAAATAAACAACAGCGACTTGCTACCTACTGCCACGGTGTGCTGTGCTCTTTGAGCTGCTCCCAAACCTCCCTTCCCTCCTGCAAGGGCTTTGCTCTTCCCTGTGCCCGCGGGAGGGTGGCGTGTCCCTGCCAGAGCCGCTGTGGCAGCGACAGATGGTGACAGCATCTCCGGGCTCTGCCAAAGCCGCCTCCTGGGGAAGCCCCCCCTGACGGGGGTCTCGGGTCACCTCTCGCGTCCCCCTTTGTGTCTCCCCCCAGCCGGGGCAGCGCCAGGGCTGGGGCAGCCGCGGGGCTCAGGTGGGAGCTGCTGCAGGGAATCCATGGGGAGAGCCGGGCCCACATTCCCGCACCGGCATCAGGGGGGCAGCTCCGGAACCGGGGGCAGCTCCGGAACCGGGGGCAGCTCCAGAGCCGGGGCTCCCGGTGCCCGCAGCCGCTGCCGGGGCTGTCCCCGCTGCCGGAGGGTGCCACC